GTTATTAGACACTTAGACAATATATTTGATAATTATTTCTTATATTAATTATTAAAAATAAATTTAAGTTTGTTTATTGAACTCAAATCCCGAGTTAATGCCAATAATAATAGAATATTTGCAGATATTTTAGCAATGATTACACTTATAAAACATATGCGATAAAAGTTAATCACAAATCTCCCTATTATTTAGTGATTGATTTTTAAGGTGTTTTCGGTAATTATCGATAAAAATATTGATATATTATTATAAGTTTTGTTTTGTGCTATGTTTTCAGGAAATCAAGTAAATATAAATCTATTTTATTTTCATATATCTGCAGATTTTTATGTTATCGTCTAATTGCAAGCCATGAGAGCCCAGACAAGTGTCAGTCCAAACAATTGTGTTTATAATAATAGTAATCGTAATTCAAATATTGATAATCCGCTGGAAATTAAGCATTTTTTGTATTTGTTTCGTTAGTTAATACATCACTTGTATTAATACTTAAAGTGTGTATTGACTAGAATACAAATTAATCGTGATTTTCTTAATTATTAATGATTTAAGATTTATATTATAATGATCATGGGTAATTAATTTTTAAAATATAAAAATGCTTATTCACTATTACAGAGTTTTGTATAATAATTACATTTAAGTGAAGTAATGTAAAGAGTAATAAAAAGTAAAGTAATTCATTTGGCAATAAATTCATAGCATTGCACGTGTCAGCCCTTGTCTCAAATAATATTATTATGTTGTAAATATTCATTAAATATACATTTATAATATAATTTATTTTTATATATACCGAGTACTTAAAAACATAAGTACATTTACCCATCTACACATTTACAAAAATAAATTTATTTGAAATAATAGTTAATAAACGAGATAGTTTAGGAAATAATAATCAAAATTACATTCACTTACTATTAATTGCGATGAATATTAATAATATTTTAATGGTAAACATTTCTCTAAACATTTATAATTATGTAAATCTAGAGTAAATTTTTAATAAAAATGAGAGAATTTATTAAATATACTAAATATATATGAATTTATTTCACACACTTATGAATACAATAGGAAAGTATGGTTTTCTGACTCAAAATATTATAGTAATTATCGAAAGGTATAAAAAACGTGATAAATATTTGTTGTTTTCTCCAATTTCTATCTCTATTGTATTTCTCGTCTCCCCTAAGAGTTATAGTTATAGCTATGGGTTAACTACTGATAAAATATGTGATAACACGAGTATATAATATAATATTAATATAGTGTATATATATTGGCACTAATTTAAAAAATTCTGCCCATTATTGAGAAATGGGTAGAAATATATAATTGTTTTATATTAATTTTTATACATTGAATATGTATTATAAATGCTATTTTAATAACTTATGCCCTTTGATGCCGTTTAATAAGATATTTTATTAATAATATTATAAATTAAATAAATAATCCTTTATTTGCTTTTGTATTGTCTTTGGTGTGAATATAAAAACTCATAAATGAAGTAATTGTTAGAAATATATTTTTCATATGTTTTACATTCTTTTGTATTGAAATATTTATAATAATTTTGAAATTTAATATTTGTTTTACTTTTTCCACTAATTTAAACAATATTTTATTAAAAGATTAAAAATTCTGGCTTTTGTTCAAAATTACAGTTAATTCCGGGTTTAAAATGTAAAATATATTTTCATTCAATAGACAATTTCAATTTTCTATTAATATTAAAACAACAAATATTGTAAAAATAATTCAAACATTAAATTGAAATTAAAATTTCAAAGTGAAATAATGTTAAAACAATTGTCGAGAAAACTTTATTATTTAAATTAACATTACATCTATTGATAAATAATTACTAATTTAAGCCGATATTTATGAAAAACATAATTAAACATAATATTTAAAAAACAGTTGAACATTTAAAATGCACTAATTAAAATTAAAACAACAAAAATTATAATTTTATAAAATAAAACTCCTAATTGATGAAAAGGTTCTAGCTAATAATGGGCTTATATTATAATAACAAATTATATTAGTAATTATAAAAAAAAGTTGCATGGTTAATTATTTTTTCGACACAATCTCGCGGTTCCACTTCCAGGCGACCGAATCAAAGCGATCGGTAATGATATAGTTGTTGAACTCAAACTTGACCAGGTCCCTTTCGCGGATCAGCACTTTGTACCGGTCGTCTCGATGGTGGTGCTGGTCATGTCGATCATCGATGATGGGCTCGTTATGGTGGGCGCCCCTATGGACGCACTGATTGCCCAAAAACAGTGACCCTCGGGGGCAGTGTCTCAACTGTGGCCGACCGTAAAAGCACTGGTAGTACTCGCTATGATTGCGGGGATTGACAAACAGGCCGTTAGAGGCCGGACACTGGAACGGGTGGTCAGACACGCACGACGTGCCGTCAAACAGCGTGGCCTCCGGACAGGTGTAGTGCGAGGCCAGTCCGCCCAGACATACATAATAGCCGCGACCGCTCTCCGGGTCCACGAATCGGCCGTCGTTTGGACAGATGAATGTGTGCGGACGCACCGGGTGTCTGACGGTGACACACGTGCGGCCGTCGAACACGAGTCCGCCCGGACAGGCGTGATGTGTGGGGTGGCCGCGATGGCACACGATGTACCCGTGCCGGGTCTCCGGGTCGTGGAAAGTGCCGTCGTTTGGACAGTGGTAGCCGTGCGGTCGGGGCTGAGGCGCCGGGAATAACGGCTTGCAGTGGTTGTGCTCAAAGACTGTGCCCACCGGACAGATGTGTTCGTACGGTATGCCATCCACGCAACGGAAGTGCACCCGACCCGCGCGGCTCAGTTTGTACGTGCCGTTAATCTCCGGGCACTCCCACGGAGTAACACACTTGTGCCGAGTGAACACCTCATACCACTGCCGGTCCCTTAATTATCATTGGAAACGTATGTAAATGTAAGAGTTATGTCGATATATAAATGCTCATGGTTATATAAAGTCATACTTATCATTCTCCACGTGCACGTGTGGGCACCGGAACACATTGGCCTCTCCCTCCTCGCACACCACGTAATGTGTTTTGCTCTCGGGGTCGGCGAACGTGCCGTCTCGGGCGCAGTTGAACGCCTGTGTCAAATGGGAACCGCTGGTCACCTGACCCCTCACCACACGTATGCACACCAGACCGTCAAACACCTCGTTGTCGGCGCAGTAGTGTTTGGTGGGCGTCCTCTGCTGGCACTTGTAGTACAGCCGGTGGCTGTTGTTGTGCCTGAAAGTGCCCTCAAACTCCGGGCACTCGTACTTCGGGTCGACACACCGTTCGCCGTCGTATATCCAGTGGTTGTTTTCGTCGCCGCCGGCGATACCGCAGCTGTGAAACTCGGCGATACCGTCCACGCACTCGGTATAGCCCAACTCCCCGGGCTCTCCAAACACGCCGTCCCGATTGCAGTCCACTGGCAGTGAGTTTCGCTGACCATAACCTACCCGTGCGATCAGATAAAGGGTTATTAAGGGTTTAGTTATAATTAATTATTGTTTAGTTTTGCAAATAGTTTTGTAATTCACATCTCACTTAATTGTAGCACAAAAACCAGTAGAAAAAGTGGCGAATAAAACATTTTCATCGTTTTATACCTACAAGTGAAACGTGTAGTAAAAATATGGGAAATAATAAGTTTTAGTTATTAATTGATATAATATTTTGCTATTTTCATAGATTTTTGTTTTGTTTGATATTTGTTTTATATTTTGTATATCTCTGAAGACAAAACACACACAACAATAATGGGAGCAAAACTTTTCGCAAACTTTTTATATTTTATGATTTTCTTGTATCAAAACTAAACAATTTTTATCCACATTTAGTTTATAACAAAACCAAATTACTGATATTAAATATATTGTGTACAGTATAGTATACACTGTATACACTATATAATACTAAATACACAAACACACTCTTATGGGGTATTAAATACCTATCTCGATTTAGTTTTTCAAAATGTCACTGCAATTGGGAATTCCTTTGAATCCAATCTGAAATACAATATAATATTTTATTTTTTATAGACGACAAGTATTGTGAAATACCATCGATGTTCACAGCATTATAGTTATAATTGATATGCATTTAGTTTTATTAATCCCTACGAAACACAGATTATGTAAATTATAGATAATTAATTGAAGAGTTATATATTAGAGTTGTTTTCATAAACAATATTATTAATTGCATTATATATTTGTTTTGTCTGCAAAGATATTTGATATTAATATTGTAATTCATTGCAAAATATATTTTATACTTTTATTGGCAATAAATTGTCTCTAAATTTGATATACAATTAATTGTTTAAATGCATAAAATGCTCACTAAATGGTTATAACTTATTAGAGTATTACAATAAATATATGCGTATATAAAATAATTATTTTTACTTTTAGTGAATACACTATCTTTTTAATACTTGACTCCAAATTTCAGTTATCATTAGATAATAAGTATTTTTGTCTGAAAAAAGTTATTATAAGTAATACAAAGTATTATAGATATTGTTATATGTATTGTTTATTGGGTTACATAACTTTAGGTTAACATTTAGTAAATTAAATTTCAATAAAAATTATTTATAAATCAATGATAAGTTACTATAAAATCAAAGGAGGATGTGCAGATCTGTAATGGGGATTTATAAAAATCTGTAATGGGGACATACGTTAGTTGGTTTTTAGAAATTTTTTATAAATTAAGAACGATTTGTTGTAAGACATTAAACTACGTCAAATATGGAGTAAATTGCTCTTTTCCATATGATCATCCGACCTCGGGTTCAGCCGCAGTGACCACTTTTAGCAAGAATTTTAACTTATCCAATACTGACATATTATATATGAAATCAATGTAGAATTTAACGCAGAAGTAGAATATCGTAATACCATCTCGATCGGGTGCATAGATTTAATGTAATTTCAATTTATTTTTGGTCCGCGATTAGTGGTAGTGACTATTGAGTCAAGAGTGCTG